AAAACGTTTTTCAATTTCTGCTTATGGGTTTTATAAGTGGAACCAATTATTTATAGTTGATAACAAGAAATTCTTTATTTTGAACAAAAAAAATTGGATGAGAAAACTATAACTACCTTTATTTCTGAACTTGTATAAGTTAATATAAAAATCATATTTATTTAAGTTAGAATAGAGAGTGGAAACAAAATTGCTCTATACCTTTGTTGAAGGATAGCTACAAGATGTTAAATAAAATTATGAATGTCTATATAAATTATAATTAATAATTATAAATGTCTCTATATATTACAAACTCCAAAGAATCTCGAAAACATTAAAATAAAAAGGACTTTTAGCAAAGATAACAATTCTCATTAGTTTAAAACTTTAAATGTTTAATGCAATTATATATTGTGTGTGTGTGTGTATGCTTTAATTTGTGGTGTATAAAAATAATACAATTTTAACAGATCATATAGTTTTGTCCTTTTATACATTTCAATGTCTAAGACACCTCGTATTCCACGATGACATGTTCCTAAGTTCCATCTTCCAACTCATTCTCTATAAATGGTAAAAGTCTACAGCTCAAGACCTAATCATTCATCCAAAAGAAGACAATTAATTATTAACTCGAAAACATTACTTAATCAAAAGAGAGCTGCCCAACAAATACAAAGAGACATCGAAACATTTAAACAAAAACATAACAACAACAAACAAAAGATAACAAATTAAGAAGCCAAAACATCTCTGAAATCAAATCAAAAGAACTGATGACATTTTTCTTTTTATGAGCCTTGGTTGAGTCCATGTGAAGTAGCTTCCAAGACACAGTCCATAACTTGAAACCCTATTCTCTCTTTCTCCAAATCATACACAACCTTCACATTCTGTTGCTGAAAGCTCCCAAAGACTCCGGCTGGTCCATAATCTCCATCTTCCATGTTTTGGAACAACAAGCATTTCACCACCGAGTTGTCGCTAGGCGCGCTCATTGCGTAAAACGTGTTACCTTGCGGGAGAAGTAAGGTTGCATTGTTCAAGAAATTGAATGTTATTGAAGGAAAGACCATTGATACATCGTTCTCGAGGCTAGTGAGATTGTTGTTAGGACATGGGACTTTGTAGCAGAGATCAAAGCCTGTTCTTGATTCGGTTTCCGTGGCCCTCGGGTATGTGATGGTTGATTGGAGAGTTGTGAGGAGTTGTGAGTAGAAAGGATCGGGTAAATGTGTGTAAGTGGTGCCCGAATCGATCAGCATTCCTCCATTACCTCGTGAATCAAATTGTCTTAAGGTTAAAGGAACTTGTGTGAGAGTCATATCTGTGCCTATTGTAACTGATTCTAAACCGATGTAGTAGCTATTGGGGTATACTGGAGCATTCAACATGGGAGTAAACTGCAAAGAGTCGGTGAGATTAACCGATAAAGCAGAAGCTCCTAGTACTAATGGACTTGAGATGTTAGGGTTGTTGACAAACTTGAAAGGCAAGAAACAATGTGAAAATCCCTTTTCAAGAAAGCCTAACTGTGAAGGGAGAGAGAGTAAACCTTTTCCAAATCCAGCAATCCCAATAGGTTCATGATAAGTGGATAGTACACAACCAAAAGAGAACCTTGGGACTTCCTTGGTTCGAGCCTTCAATATATCCCTTGTTAGTATCCCAGAGACAAGACCACCTTCCCCATATGTATAAGCAAAGGAAGGACAAGGTCTTAAGCAAGTGGACTTGAGAAGCATACTCACTGAACAGCCAGCAATAGCGCAAGTGTCAAAAGGATTGTCAGAGCTATGGACCTCAGCGCAATAGGAACTAGCACAAGAGGCTCTAAAAGATGAAGATGAGTGAAGAGGAGAGAAGATTGATGATGATTTTAGATTGTTGTTCTTGAGATTATAACAATCAATGCAATCAAAACTTAGATTCCCACATGGAACCCAAGTGAGATCACTTCCTGTGTCCATATACACTTGGACTGCTTGTGTAGGTGTTCCAATGTTTAAGGTTATCAAATAACCATCTCTCACTTCTCTCAATGGCTCCATTACTACATCTAGTGACGACTCTAGTGGCTTCTTGATCCTTTCTTGGGGTTGAGATATTGGTGTGGGAAGAGAAACACTTGATTTGGTCAAGGCAAGAACAAGAAAAGAAGATGAGGAGGAACTAGGGTTCTTATGTTGGCGTGCTTGGATTATTTTGGTAGTGTTTAACAGTACTGTAATGAGTAAGAAGAGTATTTTGGTTTCCATCACTTGTAAGTAGTGAATAAGAAAAGAAATGTAGTGAAAAGGTTTGATTTTGTATATGGTTTCTGTGAAGTTCAGTTTTGGTATTTATAGAGAAGAATTAGGGTTCTTAAAACCCTATTAAAATAGTTTAGCTGTACTTTGAAAGCAAGAATTAGTATATAACTAATGTATTTGATAAACTAAGCATAGTAAGGGAGCTTTACATATATATATATGTACTTTTCCATGTGATATTTTAGATTACGTAGTTTTAAAATTTGATATCACAAGCTTTTCAATGGACTAACACTTCGTCTCACGTGGAATAAAGTATTGTTAATGATCATTAACCTACATTTTGAATGAAGCGGTAAAAAGTTTCTTCAACGGCTAGTTGTATAAAAGGTGGTTAATGAGAAGAGAAGTAAAAATAGTAGATTTATCCAAAAAGGTTAAAAACAAAATGGAGTTTATGCTAGAATTAATACTTCTAATCGTTTCTAACTAGGTCATTCCCGGGTTTTCACATAAATTAAGAAAACAATTCAATTTTTTATTTTATCTTTCTTTAATATATTTTCTTACTTTTTTATCGGTCAAAATATTAAAGCAATAAAAATAAATTTGGAATTTTTATCCGAAAATGAAATTGAAATTATACGACAAAAATTATATATTATGCACAAAATTTTAACTATAAAATGAATGAAGGGAGTATTTCTAACTTTTGGAGCTTTACTATTAATTGCTTTTCCACTATATATATGTTTGTGTAATAATACAAAAATTAATAGATCCAGAAATGAAGGAAGAAATGAAAATGAGGACAAAGGGATGCAGCTACTGAGGTGTACATGACTCATCCACTTAACTGTCTAACCGTTACTCACCCGCTAATTTGGTTTTTATGTTTTTCATTAATTCAAAGAATAACTAAACAATTTAAAAAATATATATATACTAAAAGATATGATTAATTTACTAATGAGTACAACCATAAAATGTGTACTTAGTTTCATTTCGTCCAATTAAAATGTATTTTTGTGGAGCTTCACACGTAAGTCCCACCATATATTGTCTTCTTTGCCAAACAAATGTAGGTACACACACAAAATACATAAACAAACACATTATAATCTTGCTTTTGGTTCATTATATTTTCATAACAATGATTTTATACATTTTTTTTTAAAAAAAACATTGTTTTATATAGGATTCCAGAGAGATCATAGATGTATATACTCTATACTAATTCAGACTTTTAGAGTTTCCTTGCTCTTGGTTTAAACATTTACAACATTAATAGACACACTAAATAGTTAAGTTTTATCCTTGTAAATTATTTTTGTTAGCTTGTGTTGACTACGTAAAATCGGGTTAAAAGTTCAATTTTAACTTATATATTTTACATTCTAATGTTGATTTTTTGTAAATTTAATTTGCTTAATCAGAGTTAATCTGAAAAATTTAGTTAGAAACTAATTTTTCTTTCAGTTGCAAATATTTAAAGTAATAAATTACCTTTTTCGGAGCAAAGAACCATATTTACAGTTAGCAAGGTTTCCCTTACAAGTAAAGAACTGAATCATCGACTTTGATAATATGCAATGGACATTTGCATGTGTTAAGTTGCTGAAGTTAAAATTTTAGTCGCAAAAAATACTAATATCCATTACTCGAAAAAGACGTTTTAGGTGGTGTTTATGGACAATTATTTTACATATAGTTATAATTTCATCGCAAAATCACGACTAGTTTACGTATACATACGTTTTTTTATATTTAACCTCAAACATACTAATTATGTTCCACAAGGAACAAGACACTGTTTATCAGTGAGGGGTACAATTAAAAATAATTCAGATAGAGTTAAAACTTAAAATTAAAAGAAAACATATTTTACACTAAATTAAAAGGAAGTTTTGATTATTACTCACTCTTAATGAAATTTGACTGAAAAGATACACATTGTGTAAAAATTTGAAAAGAAGACAAAGAGATAAACAATGAAAAATACAAAATAGAGAAGTACATCATAGTCTTCGTATGCAATAATAAATCAAACAAAAGCACACATTTTAGTGAATAATCTAATTGTTATTCACCTTCCTGAGAACTCCATTTCAAACCAAATGTTTTTTCCACTAAATGTATGTTTAATTTGCCATTGGTTTATCTTTTATTCGTCTAGCTTTAGGCAAATAAAACAAGAAGACCATATATACACATACAAAGAAAAAAACCATGCTAAGAAAAAAAAAACAAGTACACACACATCGTTAGGCCATGGAAAAATATTGAAACCGATCCGAAACCAAACCTTAAATTTTTTAAAATACTTGAACGAATTCTGAATTTTAAGACCCGAAAAATCGAACCCAAACACAAATTTTTTAACTAATTGAATGAGTTCTAAATTTCAAGACCTGAAAATCGAACCCAAATCGAACATATACCCAAATATATCGATAAATTTGGGTAATAAATACTCAAGATTTTTGAGTTACTATAGATATATCTGATTAGTTTAGGCATATTTGGACTACATTTAAATTTTTGAGTTTTTGTAACTTCAAATCATCCAAAACTAAAATCTAAAACTACCTGGACAATTCGTCTACTTCTAAATCCAAATACCCAAAATACCGGATGTGACTCGAGTATCCGAGCACCTTTGCCTTACTGAATCTTTGGTCAATATAAGTAAGAAAAGTAAGAGTTCAGGGACCTACTAGTAATTTACATCCTTGGTTCGCCTGAAACTGAAAATCACAAAACGGGCAAAAGGATGAAACTTTCCAAAAGCAAGAGAAGAAAATGGAAGATTCAATCGCTTGGTAATTTGTTAATTTTCTGGTAAATTTCAATTCTTTCGATGAGTTAATAAGGAAAGAAACTGTTTTGCTCAGGATTTTAGGATTGGTGTGTGTTTGATACCTCTCTTTGCCTTAATTTTTAAGGTTGCAATGTTGTTTTCCGGATTCTTGAAAAGAGTAGTAAGAACTTCTCAATTCGATATCTGCATTGCTTTCTCCTCCATTACTCACAGAAAAAAGGTTTCAAGGTCCAAACTTTATAATGTTTACAGTACAATAAGATGTTTTCAGAGTGGTAGATTTGACTGTAGTGGTAGTAAATCTTCTTCACGGCATTGGTCTCAATCACCCACACGGGTTTTCGGGAATCGGGTTTCGATAGCTATGAAGAATGAAGCTCAAAAAGCTCTCTTTGATTACTTGCATTACACTAGAACTCTTAGGTTTGTTGATGCAGAGCATATAAGTAAGAATTCCCCTCGTTTTGTTTTGTGTTTGTTGTCCAAGATTGATACTCCTAAGGAGGATATATCCCGGTCGTTGAACAAGTACTTAAGGTACAATCCCATCAACGAGTTTGAACCTTTTTTCGAGAGTTTGGGTTTGCGTCCATATGAGATTTCGCGTTTCCTTCAGCGTGACTTGGCGCTTTTGAGTGATGATAGTATCTTGTTTGAGAACTTTCATGTTCTTTGCCATTATGGGATTCCGCGTGGCAAGATTGGCCGTATGTATAAAGAAGCAAGAGAGATTTTTGGATACGAGAATGGAGTTTTGGCAGCGAAACTTGAAGCTTATGAGAGCTTGGTTCTTAGCAAGCCTATAGTTATTAAGCTTGTAACTTGTTGCCCTTTGCTTCTTGTTGGTGTCATTGATAGTGAGTTTGTTTCTGTGGTTAATAAGTTGAAGGGATTAAACGTAGGATGTGATTGGCTTGCTCGTTGTTTGTCTGATAGGAAAACATATAACTGGTGCCGGATTCTTGAGACGATGGAGCTTCTTGATAAGGTTGGGTTTAAAGAGGAAAAGTTGAGTAGTCTTTTGAAAGCATATCCAGATTTGGTGGGTGAAGCTTCTGGCAATAAAGCTTATATTATGTTTAAGAAGTTTCATAAAGTTGGACTTCAGATGAATGAAATCGATAAGTTAGTGATAGACAACCCAGAGATGCTATTAGAGAAATCTGTCAAAAGAATTATGGAGGCATTGAAGTTCTTGAGATGTATCAAAATGGAAAAGCAGTTTATCGTTAGTTTTTTACTGTGTCATATGAAGCTTATCTGTTCGTCCTCTATACTAGGACCTAGAGCTGTTTGGAATAGATCAAAAATCGGAAGAGATGAGTTATGTCGGATTATAAAGGGAGAGCCTTTAAAATTATTCAGTTTAGCTTCTAAAGTTAATAATAGTAGAGTTCAACTTGATTCAGTGGATTTGAGGAATGCAGAGAAGACAGCATTCTTGTTGAAGCTAGGGTATGTAGAGAATTCTGATGAGATGGTGAGGGCTCTGAAAAAGTTCCAAGGGAGGGGAGATAAGCTACAGGAGAGATTTGATTGCTTTGTGAAAGCTGGTTTGGACCATAATGTTGTTACTCAGCTAGTTAAGCGGGCGCCTCATATACTTAACAGGCCGAAAGATATCGTAGAAAAGAAGATAAGTATGCTAACTGGTTACTTGGGTTATCCAATTGAATCCCTGGTAGAGTCCCCAACATATTTGTGTTATAGTATGGAGAGAATACATCAGAGCTCAATGTACATTTGGTTGAGGAAAAATGATGCAGTAATTCCGAGGCTGACACTAAGCACTATTGTCGGTGTTTCTAATACTCGGTTTGTGTCATACTTTGTCCTTACCCACCCTCAAGGTCTAGCTACTTGGGAAAGTATAAAGAAAACATCTACCTGAAGAGTGAAGGTAACTGGTCAGTTCAGTTATATAATGTTATCTTCACAGTATAATGTTATCTTTACAGATGTCTGTTGATCGGTAGCATTGTCTCATTGCTGTGTTCACAGTCAGTGGCATTGCAACTCTCTATTCAACTGTGTAGTGATATGCATTCCAACTAATGGACAAGGGATGACTTGGAGAAAGCTGAAAGAACAGTGACTCACACCATAATGTTCATACGCTAGTTCGAACTCAGTGAAGTGATTCTTAGACAGGACTGAACAGATTGATAAATTTGAAAGGCACAGTCCTTCATTGATACAGTATTCTTCTATTGCTATCCGAAGTTGGAAAGGCACACTTGAGGTATGATGCAACTTAAAATGCTTTCTTTGTTGAAGGAGACAGTATTGGTCAGACAAGCCCACGAAAGAGATCAGCTAACATCTGCTTACTGGGACATACCTGTGACAGTTCTGTATAGAATGCATTATTACAGGTTTTTTGGAACATTTGGTTTTGTCCTTTACTCTTAGCCACCATCAGTCTATGGCCTGTAAATATGTAAAGGTGGCTATTACAAATGATCATGTTTTTTCCTGATCTTTTTGTGGAGTGTCTTTGTCTGTTTAAATTTCAGGTATATGAGAATATCTTGTAATCTACCCAAATATCAAAAGAAAAGATTGCATATAGTTAGCATGGTTTGTGTTAGTCAGCACTCCTAATCTTACTGCTGTACATTTAACTATCCATCTCTCTTTATTAAAACGGAGCCTAAAGCATCTGTATGAAGAACCCAAAAAGAAGAACCCTTTTAACAAAGATATCTAATTATATTTAACTTATGGTGCAGGTTTGTTCTTCAGACGTCTTTTATGGAAGAAGAAGGAGAGGATGAAGCAGAAAGACAAGACCGCGCAATCTTAGACTCTTTGTCTTTGCTATACGCCTTTTGGACATCATCCTTAAGCTCTCTATATCTCATTCTCTTCAATCTTCTTTCCTGTGAAGATCCCTTCTCAATACGTAAATCATCGAGGATGTCATCGTCTATGTACTCATCCATGTACTTATCTAGAACCTCTGAGCCATATGGAAAAAATCTCCGACCAGTCTCAACTGCACCATGAAATGGTTAATGAAGTTAGTCAAGAGAAAATAAGCAGCAGAAAAAGAAGCGTAAACTCACAAAAAGCAAAGCGTTTTTAACCTGTTTTCATCAGAGCCTCCATACGAGTAAGAAGTCTTTTGGTTAGCATCTGAGGAGTTTCGTTTAAATCAACCTGACTCAAGTTTCCGGTTAATCCATTCAAAGGCGGTGGCAGACCTGTGAACTCACTTGTACCTTCTACATTACCAATGTCCATAGCCACTTTAGCTTCTGTTGGAAAGAACAACTGAGCAAGCCCCACTGCAAAAAGGTTGATGCTTTAACAAAAATATCATAAAGACACAGAAGAATTTAACAACTTTCAGTCAATTACCTCTCTTTTCTAGGTACAACAGTCTCATTTGGAGATCTTCAGGCATAGAAAGGGAACACATTGGTGAATCCAAAACCATCGGATTCTTCCTGATTTGTCTTTCCAAGATATCAATGCATAACCGAGCTTTACTAGATTCACGCCCTTTCGCTGCTTTGGTATGATAATCCTTTGGATTTGTCAGTCTTCTCAATATATTAACCGCACCGCGTCCATCAGATGTCAACTCAGATGCATTGGCGCCTTTTTCGATAAGCGATATAATGATTGATGGCTCTCTACGCATCGCAGCAAAATGAAGAACCGTGTAACCCCGGGAGTTCCTGAAATTTACATCACCCATACCGAGATTAAGGATCTCAGCAACAACTTTCGGATCACTATACACCACGGAATAATGCAGACCATTGGCTTCATCTAGAGTGATATCTGACTCATTCAAAAGAAGCTTCACAAGCTCAACATCATCTGAATCCAACGCCTTGAGAATTTTCCTGATTCTCTCAAGCAATTTCTCTGAAACCTTGCTCTCTCCTCCGTCTTGTGGGGACTTGAGACGAATCTGTTTAATCTTCTCTGCTACTTCGGAAGGAAGCTCTTTTTCGATACAGAACCTGTAAAGATCTGACCTCGCCACTCTCTCGATACACTGATCAAGTAAGTCATTCAATTTACAATTGAAAGCAACCATAAGAATGGGAAGAACATTCTCAACAAGGGTCTTCTCCACAAAGTTACAAAGCCGCCGCTGCAAACACACAAACATAAAGTAAAAACCTTTAAGCTCTCATTGAGGTCTTTAAATCAAGAAACAAAGAGAGACAGAAAAAAAAAGAAGAAGATTACTTTCCACACCTGAAAGGATGAAACTAGCTCAGGCACTTGGAGAACAGATGAAGCATACATCAATTGAACAACAAAATCAATGGCAGGCCGACAAGAATCATGAGCACAAACTGGATCAACACAAGTCGAAACCTCCAAAGGAAATGGCTTTAATCTGCCAGTGTAGATATAACTCAAGAAATACAAGAAAGCTTCATGACCAACAGCTCCATAAGGCAACATCTCTTTCAACTGATACTTTGGTTTCTCAGTTTTCGAGTTTTTCTTTTCTTTCTTGAACAGTTCTTGGAAAAACTTACTTCTTGCAGCTAAAATGCATCTATGGACACCAACTGGAACACCATCAACAATGATCTCTGCATCGCTGTAATCACAATCTGGATTACTAAGAAGCTGCTCAAGATTGGAGCTGAGTTTGCTTAGACTAACAACTTCAGGATTAGAAGCTGAACTTGATGGGAAATGATTAGACCCAATAGAACCGTAAGAGAAATGAGAAGATGTGAAACTTAAAGACGATGATGGCTCAGTCAAAGTAGCCATTTTTTTTTCAATCAAAACCTCTGCTTTTGCTGTATGGAGATCAAAGATTACACAAGTCTCAAGATCGAATTGAGATACAAAGGCCCTAAATTTACATCTCTAATAAGGAATCAACCAAACCCAGAACCAAAAGGATGAAAATTGTGAACTTGGGTGATTGAATTATGAAACTAAAGAAACAAAACCGAATTTTTCAGACAGAACATTACTCTTTGGACCTCTGAATCAATGTACCAAGAAAAAAAAGGAGAAACTTTGGAAGAAGAATCAAACAAAACTGGGAGAGGAACCAAAAAAACAAAAGCCCTACAAGAATCTGGAGAAGACGAAGGGGAAAGAGATTGAAGAACCGTATAAGATCTGCACAATCGTAAAGAGATAAGATCAAAGAAGAAGGCAAAAGTTGGACGGAGGAAAGAACCGAATTGAGATCTATCAAAAAGAAAGAGAATTTCGAGGAAAAGTCAAGGAAGGAAGTGATATATAATATTGTGATGAAATTGAGAACAAAACAGGACACAACAGGTTTGCAAGTGATGGTGAAAGAAAGGGACAGCTTCTTCTTCTTTCTTCAATGTGAAGATGAAGGAGTTTGATATATTTATAATAAATCCTGTTACATAATGTTAATTAACATGACTTTAAGCATGAGATGATTAAGTTTAAAACATGGTCTAATAATATAAAGAAAGACTTGGAAAAAGTTGACAAATAGAAAACAAAGACTAGACGTGTATGATTCCAAAGGCTCTCCGTGTATGACGGCCACACACTAACATTTTCCACATTTTCTCCCATTTTAATATATAGTTTTTTTTTCTCCTCTTTAAATTTATTAATTATTACAGATTATAAAAACTGTTACGAAAATAAATTTATTATGAACAATTCCTTCCGATCGTATTAGATATTTAGATTCACTATTAACGACATTTCATGTTAATTATACTGATCTCGAACATTTTTCTCTCCATGCTGCTATTGGATATTTTCTTCTCTTTCAATAGAAAGAATCATGGCGAACGGCTATAATTGTGCATCATTGGAAATTTTCTATAAACTTATCTCCATTAATCTGCAGAAATATTAATAAATTGTACTATTTAGAGTACGAACTCCAAACCTCCTGAGTAGAAGCATTACTAAACTCTTGATCAACACCATTGAATCAAGAGGGTATAACTAATATATAGTTTTAGTTTTAAGATTTATAAAAAAAAATAAGTGATTGTTTAAGTTTACTGTTTTAAATTTAAAAGTTTTTGATCTTTAATATTTGTCTTAACATAATAAATTTACGTTGATGTGTAGTTTATAAAATAAAGTTAAATTCCAAATAAATAAATATTTAAAGGAAAATTTTATGCTAAATCAAAAGTTCCCATATTATTTAAACAGAAACACTGAGAATTTGTGATTTGATTCACTCTATTAATTTGATGCTAGAAAACGAATTAGTTTAGCAATTAAAACTGAATAAACAAAAGATCCGTGAAATTTACCGGTTACTTCCTAAAAATATTAAAACTATAGTACAGATTAATAAATAATTTACTAAAGATGTATGGATCCAGGGAATAAACTATAAAGAAATGTGTAATGATTATGCTAATTGTCGTCACTAAACAGGTTTAAGTCAATAAAAAATAAAATAAAAATAGTATTAAGAAAGAGCCGTCACGATTGATGACGGCAAGGAACTGACGCAAGCAAATGCGAACGGCATACGGATGATGTTAGCTTGTTGGGTTTGGATTTTGCTTGTGATACGATGACAAACAATAACATCACTTTCGAAAATAAAAAAATAAAAAAAAAATCATTTTGATCACAATAATATATAGGGTATACTTGTTTGTTTGTAGTGTGGTCCGAACTTTATTAATAATAGTATTTGTTATGGACCAAAGTCATTCTTTTGTGTGTTGGCCTATAGTTCCATATTTCAAGACTTAGATGTATATAACGTTTTTGACAACGAATAGTATGTGAAGGACAACGACTAAATTAGTGTATGAGTTTGAGTCTGATTAGTAAAGTATGCACAATTGTATAAAAGAACTTAAATTAAAACGATAAATCGTTAGAAATAGTGTAAACTGTAAAATAAACGATATATGTTATACCGACAAATTAAAACTAATTTTTATAGGGAATATTGTTATAAATAGCACTGATATTATTATTTTCAAAAATAGTATTATAATTTTCTTTCTCTTTATTTAGATTGAAAACTAAACCATTTAAATTTAAAAAAATTGAAACTTAAATTTATGACTTCTTTACATAAGATACAAATTATATAGTAATGCGTTAAAGCCAAACCACAAGAAAATAAAAATCAAGTTTAAGAAAAAAAAAGTTTGGGTTAACTATTTTATATTTAAAGTATCGTTTTTAAGGGTATGGTTTATTGTTTAGAGTTTAGGATTTAATTTTGAAAGTTTAATTTTAATATATGGTGCTAATTTTGATAAACAGGAAAATAAGTGTTAAGTTTGGAATAAAAACTGAAATTAGTGTTGACAAAAAAAAACTGAAATTAGCATTATTTTTTAGAATTATCCAAAAAATTAACATTCAATAAATAATATTCTTTAAATGTAAATTATTCAGTAAAATAGATTACTTAGAGAAAAACATAGTTACCATTATCAAAACATCTCAAATGGAACGGTGGATGACTGGATATGCTTCTGCTGAGAAGCTACGCTGACTTAAACAAATATTTTATACCAATAGAATTAGTCTCTTAAAAATTATATATATCGAATAATTTGGATATAATACTATGTTCTTGAAAACATATAAAAATGTTATATAATTAACATGAAGTCCGGATATATATATTAGAGTTTTCGTCCATTAAAATCGACTTGTTTTCTGTTTTCTGTATATTCAACATTTTTTTTTATTCCTATCGGAAAAATATATATTTCGCTTTGTTAAAGATTTTTCAGAACAAAAATAAATTAAAACAAAAAAAATATTTTTTTTAAAACTATTTTGCATGCTGATGAGAACTGCAATTTCAGTCCTCACTTTATAAGAAAGAAAATAATTGTTTACTGGACTAAATCAACAAAATCTATATTATATACATTATTGTGATCACATATAAATTTTTAGAATTTTTCAATTCTCTCTATTAAGGTTTTATCTTGTCATTTTAAGGTAGATTATGATTTCTAATTTTTAAAGTTTTTAAATTCTCAAATAAAAATTACAAAACTAAAATTTCAATTTTCGCTAACTATTTTCTCCAAATCTTTAAATTAACTTCCGATTTTGAAAGTAACCAGTAAATTAAAATTTTCAAAAATATATGATAATATTCATAGTTTTCACGTTTATAAGTTTGGTACTATATCTTGATTATTTTCAAAAAAATGTTTTTTTGTTAATTAGGTTTTGATTTTAAAATTTTTCTTTAAACTCGCCCTCCTTATTTTCAAAAAGATTCCTATCTTTGTCATTTTTATCTCCGGAAGAATTATGATCTTTTCGAACTTTGCATAAATATGTTATCGTGCCACGAGTTTTTCGATGTGTCAGATAATGTTTGCTACTCGTGTCTCCGAAAAACGTACGAAGCAAAAAAAAGTCACGGCTTACAGAAATTGATAGGCCCAATGATGTAATGGGCTCTTCTGCTTTGGTTAATCCCAGTTTTGATTGCTCTTATGTAAAAGTAATTTTGATTATTTGAGTTTTAGGTTCGTTTCATATGATTGTATGGTTCTCTTTTATCATTTGATGTTGCTGTGATATGATGACGTATTTGAACAATAACGTCACTCTCGAAAATAGAATAAAATAACCATTTTGATTACAATAATATATACTTGTTTGTTTTTAGTGTGGTCCGACTTTATTATTATTATTGATAGGTATTTGTGATTGACCAAAGTCATTATTTTGTGTGTTGGCCTATAGTTCCATATTTCAAGACCTACATGTATATAACGTTTTAAAAAATTTATAGTATGTGAAGGACGACAACTAAATTATTGTATGAGTTTGAGTCTGATTAGTAACGCCTGCAAAGTTTGTAAAAAGACTGTAAATTAGTACGATAAATAGGTTATGAAATAGGTTATATAAAATAGACAAAAATTATACCGAAGACTAAAAATAATGTTTTTAAAAACATTTTTTAATATTACTTTGGTGATTAGTAACTGTCAAAATCATATACCAAAACAATACAAGATTACTAATCAAACTTCATAGGCGAGGTGAAATAAGTTAGCGGACTTTTTTAATTACTTTAAACAAATATTTAATTTAATAGTAAATGAAAATACAACTAAAAACTTAAAATACAAAATAATCGAGATGTTGAATGGAAAAAAAAAATTGAAAAAGATTTTAATTTTACTCTTTTTGTAATTTGAAGTTGTGAAGTTATGTTTGTTTATATAGATGTAAAAAAGGGAATATTTATATGGGTATGTAATGATGATATGCTCTACACAAATTCTATTATATTTATAATATTTTCTTATATGTATGTACATCATTTGGTAACTTTTTAAAAGAATGTTTAAATAATTTAGAAATTCTTTAAAACAGTATAATATTTGGTAACACAAATCATGACACTGAACCTATAATTAAATTTTAATGAATTTAATTGATCAGTACATTTCAAAATTTTAGAGGTATTTTTATATGAAATTTAGGAAAAAATAAATTTTTGAAAAATAATATTAGAAAATGAGTTTTTTTCTTTAGTTTTTTAAAAAAAAATTTAGATTAAAAGATTTAACCGTTTACATTTATCAATGAAAAGTGAAACTTAAATTTTCAATTTCCTTTCATACAATCTTACAAATTACTTAGTAATGCGTTAAAGCCAATTACAAGAAATAACGATACTCATAAAAAGGGGTGGAAAGCAAACTTGACTTTGACAAAACTAAGTTTTTAAATTTCTATGTAAATTTATATATTGACGGTAAACTTTTTTTAGTTTTTCATGGAAGAAAAGTCAAATTTGACGATCAAAAGTAAAAAAGTAAAGAAGAAAAAAATAACATTCTTAAATTGTAAATTACTCAATATCCATAAGCATGTTACGAGAAAAATATATATATAGTAACCATGCATGATCAAAACATCCCAATGAAGCGGTGGATATGGATCAGACGATCGGTGTCGGTGTTGCTTCTGCTGAGAAGCTACGCACACTTGAATAATTATTGTATACACAGTCCTATAAAAGTCTCCTTCTTGTATAAAAAGTATATATATAACACAATAATTTGAATATAATATTATGTTCTTGAAAACTATAAAGATGTTTTATATATATAAGACATGAAGTCCGACTGTTATATACATTTGAGTTTTCTGTATATACAATATTTCTTTTATCAATTGGTATAGAAAAAAATACATAGTTTTCTTTGTTAAAAATTTTGCAGAAAATAAACACAGTTTTTTTCTTTTTAACTAAGTTATTTCCATGCAAAGAACTGTAATTTTGGTTTTTTACTTTATAAGGAAAGAAGGAAAGAAAACAATCTTTTAAAAATCTTATATTAAGTAGACGTTATATAAATTAGTGTGATCACATGTAAAATTTTAGCGGTTACAATTTTCTTAATTAAAGTAATCATCTTACTATTTTAGATAGATCAAGATATCTAATTTTGAATTTTTCAAATTCTCAAACGAGAATCGGATTACGAAACAAAAATTTTAGTTTAACGTCTTTACTTTTAGATATATTTAAATTAATTTCTGACTTTAGAAATAACCAGTAAATTAAAGAAGAAAAAAGCAAGATGATAATATTCCTAGATTTTATGTTTATAAGTTTGTTATTTTATTTTGATTATTAGAAAAAATTATTTTTTGTTAATTAAGTTTTTGTTCAAGATATTTTCTTTAAACTTGCTGATTTTGTTTATATAAAAGTTTTCATCCTTCTCGGCTACGTTTCCAAAAAGATTATAATATTTCTTGGCTTTGTATAAATAATACTCTAAATTTATTATGCCACGGGTCTTTTGTCGTGCTACGTGTAAGTAATGTTTGCAGGTCGTGGCGTCGAGAACGAAAGAAAAAAGAAATTACGGTTATAGAAAATAAGTGGCCCAATTCTGTAACAGGCTTTTCTGATGTGGTCAAGCCCAATTTTGATTGATCTTGTTTTAAAAAGGATTTTGATTATTTGGGGTTTAGGTCCGTTACATTCGATTATATACTTCACATTTATCCTTTCAAAAAGTTTTGTTCAGCAATTATTACTGATTCGTTTTGAAAGTTGAAACATCTATATTTCCCCTATTTACGATGAATCCAAGCTAATATTCATAGCAATTTTTTTATTAAATCGACTTAACAATTTTTATTATTAGATGTTACCACTCATTTGACAACTAGTAACTTTTATCCTAGTCTTAAACTCACATTATTATATGTGTGTGAAACCTGATCAAAGTTCTTTCTAGTCTTATAAGATTAGTGAAACTTTATTTTAGTCTTTATAGATTAACGTTGACTTGTTAACAATCCAAAAAGCATGAAGGAAAGCTTAATCCATCGATCGGCGTGAGCCTAGCCAGAATGAAATGTGCAAATAGAGAATATATATATAACACTATTATATAACTATATAATATAACATCAGTTATGTTTGGTATATTTAATATACTCTTATATATGTTTTTTTTATAGAAAATTACACTATAATTAAAACAGACTGATCTATCTCCAACCAAATATTTCAACTCGTGTGTCATGCGTTTTTATAATCTTCCTTTTTATAAAACGAATAATATACGCATGTCAATATACTAACATAAGTAACAACAGCCATCACTTTATAGTCTCTATTAATATGAGTAGTGAATCAAAATAACAAGACATTACACATATATCATTTTCTTGTTACTAAAATGGCTACAACTACACAACACATGAATCAAATCTTCCTCGTACTCCTCCTAATCTCCTTCGCAATCTCTCCGGTGATCTCGACCGTTCCAAAAGAATGCGAGACTAATCCAACAGACTCTTGCATCGACAAAACCAAAGCCTTACCCCTCAAAATCTTAGCGATCGTTGCCATCTTACTGACGAGCATGATAGGAGTCACGGCTCCTCTCTTTAGCCGATATGTCACTTTCTTGCATCCAGATGGTAAAATCTTTATGATCATCAAGTGTTTTGCGTCCGGGATCATCTTAGGAACTGGTTTCATGCACGTTTTGCCTGATTCTTTCGAGATGTTGTCTTCTCCATGTCTTGAAGACAACCCTTGGCACAAGTTTCCTTTCACAGGATTTGTCGCTATGTTGTCTGGTCTTGTAACTCTCGCTATTGACTCTATTGCTACAAGTCTCTACACCAAGAAAACTGTTGCTGACGACAGCGAAGACAGGACTACTCCGATGATAATTCAAATCGATCACTTGCCTATAACAACTAAAGAACGTAGCTCTACTTGCTCAAAACAACTTTTGCGGTATCGAGTTATCGCCATGGTTAGTGTTCCATTACAAGCTCGTTTTGCTAAATTGGTTCAACATATATATTTTCAAGGTACTATAACTTTTAAATATTTGATTCGAATATGAAGAAATCATATGTCTAAATTCAGGTGTTGGAGCTTGGAATTATAGTTCACTCCGTAGTCATTGGACTATCCCTAGGTGCAACCAACGATACATGCACCATTAAAGGTCTTATTGCAGCTCTTTGCTTCCATCAGATGTTCGAAGGCATGGGTCTCGGTGGCTGCATCCTCCAGGTACAAACTGTTTTATATCATGAATATGTATTAATATGTAAATATTTATATTCAAAACTAATAACAACTATAATACCATAACATTCTTCTTTTGTTGACCATAATTACACAAACATAAAGATTCAGGAATAGTATTAAAAAACATTATGCTACTACTTGTAGTTGTATTTTAAAATAATTTCTTTCAAGAAAAAAGAAGTAATTAAATAACCATATGATATGATGGAGAAACATATAACGTACGTTTTGAGAAATACATAAAAATCTATTTTTGAACAGGCAGAGTATACAAATGTGAAGAAATTTGTAATGGCCTTCTTCTTTGCGGTTACAACACCTTTTGGAATAGCTCTTGGTATAGCCTTGTCGAGCGTTTACAAAGACAACAGTCCAACAGCATTAGTCACGGTAGGACTACTCAATGCATGTTCTGCAGGATTGCTCATTTACATGGCACTTGTAGATCTTCTAGCCGCAGAGTTTATGGGATCTATGCTCCAAGGAAGCGTCAAACTTCAGCTTAATTGCTTCGTGGCGGCTTTGCTCGGTTGTGGTGGAATGTCAGTCCTCGCCAAGTGGGCGTAAACACTTCAAATTTTAACTTTCGATTTTTATGAAAATGTAACTATATTGCAGTGAGTGTAAATACTATATTTTCTGTATCTTTATAAGAAAATGTGATTTTCAAGCGATTATGCTTTTATTCTCATAGTTTGTTTGTCTTTTTTTGTATTGTGAGTTAACAATTGAATTTTGCATTATCTGGAGAACAATATTCATCTCTTATAACCCATTTTGTTGGTTTGTTGAAATTCTATAGCCAAAATATATTTGACTTTATCGTCGGGTTACAAATATTTCCAATAAAAAGTGGTATACATGAGTAAGGTGTGATCAAATAATACCTTGTAGATAAAACATGAGCATTTAGAAAATGGCTGAACCAAATGATATAGGAGAGATATATTGATCAATGATACTGATTCCGAATTTTCGAGTGACGAACGGTGAGAAGTTTTGTTGCGGTTGAATGATTATTCATGACGTTGAAGTCTTGGGATTTGGATCAGTACAGTCTCGCGTTTCTCTCATTCCAAATCTTTAGCTTTTAGGATGATTGACAAATCTAATTAGACATAACCAGTTGCGTTACTATCTTTACTTTGTTTTAGATAGAGAAATTAGTACTTTACAACACTCACCCTTAATATTTTAGTTATTAACAAAAAAATTTGTATCCTTCATTTTAAATTTTTCTTGGAACATTAAACATTTAGAGGGGAGTATTCAAAATAGAATTTTAAGAGATTTGAATTTTATTGGGTTTTTAAATGATTTTGATGATTTTAGGGAAATTCATATGATTTTTGTAAAATCCTTTCAAATCTCACCAAAAACCATGGGATTTGGATTTCTGTATTTTTAACTAAAGAAATCCTCCCAAATCCTCTGAAATCCTTCAAAATCATTAAAAGCCAAAATTCATGTTTGAATAACAGTGGATTTGTAAACTTTTTACAAATCACTTGAAATTTCACTTTAAATACACCCCCCTTAAACTCACAATGACCTTTACTTTTTATGTTTTAAAATAAAAGTCACAGCCAAAATTTTAGCAGTATATTTTAAAGGAACGTACCCACCAAAAATTCCGTACAAGTTTATTATCTATTTTATGATTTTGTTTTTGTCAACCTTGCAATATTTTTGAAAGAGTTGTGTATATAACAATTAGTTGAATTCTGTAAACAAAAATATATATATGAGTAAGTAGTATTAGTTTACACTACATTCATTATCAAAATCCCAATTAATTAATTGTTCTCTTCGTATAAACGACCGTACGCGTTGTACGACTTGTGAAAAGGCAAGGTCCGTACACCTTATTACGTACGTGAGCAAGAATATTGCAATTTCACCAAATCCCTACATTAACAAAATAAGTTATTTAGCCAACTCCTTAATTATTTCCGTATTAAGAAGAAATATTTTCAACGTCAGCAAAATTGTGGCATGGGAATAGCATGCCCACTTTTTCTCCTATATAAGCATAAGTCGTAAGCAAGCCAAAACAGAATCCAAAAGAGCACAAAACACTTGAAACAAAACAAAAACAAAAAGAAGATTCTAAAACTAAAACAATGGCAGCTTCGGCTACAACATTCATGAAGCTCTTCTTCTTTGTCCTAATTCTTGCCAGTTTTATCGTATCTCCGGTTGTGTCAACGGCACCGGAAGAATGTGAAGCCGAGTCAAATAATCCATGCGTCAACAAGGCTAAAGCCTTACCTCTAAAAATCATCTCCATTGTAGCCATCCTCGTGACCAGCATGATCGGTGTCTCGGCTCCTCTCTTCAGCCGGTACGTTCCTTTCCTCCATCCGGACGGAAACATTTTCACGATCGTTAAGGCTTTCGCGTCCGGGATCATATTAGGAACAAGTTTCATGCACGTTTTACCGGATTCTTTCGAGATGTTGTCTTCAGAATGCTTAGAGGACGATCCATGGCATAAGTTTCCTTTCACAGGATTTGTCGCTATGTTGTCGGGCCTCATCACTCTAGCCATTGACTCCATGGCCACTAGCTTCTACTCTAGCAAGAATGGTAGTGAGATCGTGCCTGCTGCTAGTAACGGTGATCAGGAGAGAGCCAATCCGATGATAACTCATGGCCATAGTCATGGTCATGGCGTTGCATTAACTAATAAAGATGATGGTTCGTCACAGTTATTGCGGTACCGTGTCATTGCTATGGTACGTAAGTCCACCATACATAAATGTAGTGATATAAGTTTTAACAAAATTGCTTAACAATTTAGTATATGATAGGTGCTGGAGCTTGGAATTATAGTTCACTCCGTAGTTATTGGACTATCCCTAGGTGCAACAAATGATACATGCACCATTAAAGGTCTTATTGCAGCTCTTTGCTTCCATCAAATGTTTGAAGGCATGGGCCTTGGCGGCTGCATCCTCCAGGTAATTAAATCTGTAAATACATCTTTATTGAAGTGTTGCATTAATCTTTACTAAGATAAAAATGTTGTAATTTGTGAATAGGCGGAGTATACGAATGTGAAAAAGTTTGTGATGGCCTTCTTTTTCGCGGTTACAACGCCATTTGGGATCGTTTTAGGGATGGCATTGTCGAGCATTTATAGGGATAATAGCCCGACCGCATTGATCACGGTCGGGCTGCTTAACGCTTGCTCAGCAGGACTGCTCATATACATGGCCCTCGTCGACCTTCTAGCGGCTGAGTTCATGGGACCAAAGCTCCAAGGCAGCATCAAGCTTCAGATCAAGTGTTTCTTTGCCGCTTTACTCGGCTGCGGTGGAATGTCAATCCTCGCCAAATGGGCTTAGAAACTTATCAGTAATGTTGGTGTTCATATCCTAAAAGAGTTTGGTTAATTAACCAAACTTATATGTTCGGTTTTAGAAAATGTTGTTTGGTTTCTCAGTGTGTGGTGTGAAGGTTTTTTTTGTTTTTCTTTTCTTTGTTGTTTACTTACATATCTTATATAATAAAAATGGTTACCTTCTGAAACTTTCTTTCTGAGATGTCACTTTTGGTGCATAAAGTATTGTTGATTTGACAAAGCGGTGCATCGTACAAAATCAAAAGTTGAGACCTCCAAAGTCCAAACCAAACCGAACTCTAATTTTATTCAGTTTGAAACATTTAGTTTCTAACCTAAACATCCAAAATTGAACAAACTGTTTACCCGAACAATCAAACCTAGTAAAAATAATCGAATCTAGCTGCCTCTCTTTTGCCAAATAATCGAATCTAGCTGCCTCTCGACTTGGGATATCATCTTGGTCTTAGGGCACCATTATTGGTGAGATCTTAGGAGCTAAGATACTCTAAAATTTGCAAAAGAAAGATCTAATATAAGATACTCTTACAATGGCTATGTTCTTATTTATTTGCATGGTCTGACTATCATCTTTTCTTCCCAATACGTGTAGTTTAATTTTTCTTCTCTCGTAAGTCCTGATTAAACAAAAAATACCAATTGGCTTTGGCTCATGGTGTTCTCCCACTTATAGAATCATTTATTTACCCATTTGTTAATTGTATGAATCCTATTGGATACAAGGGTTATGATTCCACACAGAAGACGACTCATAAGCTTTCTCTTCTCAAAGCCAATTGGTTACTAATACAACAACTCATGCTTCTTTATATACTTGATTAGATCTTTAAAAGTTGTCGATGTGGGATCTTCATTAATTTGTTTGGCCGACATAATATTGATGGAAATCCATTGGAAAATCAAAAATACGCATGTCGGATGAAATTGTTGTTGCTATCTGTTCCAATAACGAATCAGTGGGCTTATTATGGGGTAAAACAAGCCCGATTGATAAAGAGAAGCTCAAGTTATTCTCATATATAATGTTCGAGAAACTTGACTATTCTAGTTTTAGTTCTTAAAACCCTACCTGCCGGCAAATCAAACTTGAAGGTTACTTCTTCAGGTCTGATTCGAGTTTGATATAGGATCATGGAGCTTGATAGAATCAGCACACTGCCAGATTCTTTACTAACTCACATACTCTCGTACCTTTTGATCGAAGATTCGGTTAAGACGAGCGTTTTATCGAAGAGATGGGAATTTCTCTGTCTAAAGGTTCCCGTGTTGGACTTAACCAAACTTCAGTTCTGTCTTCAAAGAAAAGCCATCTCCTGGTTAATTCTTAGATTTGTGGAGCTTAACCGTGGATCACGCCTGGAAAGTTTCAACATAAAGTGTTCCTCTTATAATAATGTCGAAGATATGCGAGAGATCACTTTTTTGGACTTTTCTCAAGAAATTAAAAAGGTAAGGTATATTGATTCCATCTTCTATAAACATGGAGTTAGGGATTTGATAGCCGAGGCGATCCATCGCGGGGTTCAACATCTAGAGGCCCATTTGTCCGAAAGAATGCCTCGGGTAACAACCTATAACATGCCCGAGTGTGTTTATACGAGCAAGACATTGGTGTCTTTAAAGCTTGCAAACGTAGGGCTTGATGAGGATCCCGAGTTTGGTGCTTCTCTACCTAATCTCAAGATGATGCATCTAACAAACATTTATTACAATAGTCTTTTGATCATAAAGATGCTCATCTCAGCCTCGCCTCTTCTTGAAGATCTTACCTTTGACTTTCCAAAGCCAAAGCCAAAGCCAAAGAACAATGATTTTAGGCAGGACTTTCGAAGGAGGCCATATCAATACAGTCCGAATACCGATTATATCTTCTTGGAGGACTTTTCTGATTCGCCGACGCGAGAGGAAACTGATGATTTTACCAATGTGCCACAGTGTTTGATATCAACGCTTGAATATGTTAAGATTAACAGACTGATAATGAAGGAGGAAAATGGGATCAAACTAGTGAATTACTTTCTTGAGAATTCAGCAGTCCTCAAGAAACTGACTCTAAGTTTCACACATCCTTGTGTAACCAACCAAGAGCTAGAGAGCTACAAGAAGCTTCTTACATCCACAAAGCTTTCTCCCACATGTCAAGTTATCTTTGATTGACACGCAACTGATGATGCTGGTGAGAACATGTACATGAGACTATTTTTTCATTCAACATTAGTGTAGGAATTATCATAATTAAAGATTGCAATTATTCATTTTAGGTTTGTTTAACTTTAGAAAAAACATTGGTTAAGGAAGAATTTAATTGTAGTTTTTTTTTTAATTCTATATGTTACAAAATATGCGATGCTTTATGAAATTGTTTGAATCTTAGTCTCCCACCAAAAGTATTTAACAGAGGTTCTTTTAAAATATTGTCTATTTAATCTAGGCTGGTGTGCAAGCCCTTTGACCCAATAGTCAATGATTTCACCAGTTTTGGATTCGATTCCTGTCTCAAACAATGGAATTTCTAGTGTAGTCTAGCTATGATAATACAACGATCTTGTTAATTATGTAAAGAGCAAGAATTGTCGTGTGATGAATAATTGTGAATTAATGGAGTTTTGATATTAAAATTTCGATAAATTAATTTAAAACAGTATAACAAGCAAATGATTATCCTTATAAGACCGCATGACAAAGCATGGTGTAAAAGCTTTAGGCCCTAAGTGTAACTACACAATGCTATCTAAATAGACAGTAACATGAAGTATATTCAAAATTGAAAAATGTAAACGAAAATTTTGTATAAAATATATAGAAAATTTTTGTATAAAACATATAGAATGCTGAAAACAAAAACCACGAAGTCGAGCGCGTAAGATGCACGCGCGGGCGACTTCTCTCTCAAACCTATTTTTCTTGTTTCTCCCTCACATCTGCAACTCCTCCGCCTCTCCGACGTGTTTTTCCGGCGTCGGAGAGGGCCTCACCTTTTTTTTTTAGCTTTGGTCTTTCCTCTCCGTCAGATGTCTCCGTCAATGGTTTGTGGTGGCTCACCGTATCTGTGCCTTCTCGTTCTCCAGGCGGTGGTAAATCAGATCTCAATCTTCTCGTAGTGGCTAGGAGAGACGCGGCGGCTGAACGTTGCTTCGAGTTGTGGCCCGAGGACACCTCGTTTTGATGGCTTCAGAAGGTTGCCCTTGGTGGTCGTCTCTCTAAGCGAGTTAGTATTGAGTCGTTTGGTTTGTGGTTGTGGTTTCGTGGAGATTGTGGAGGGGCTCCGGACTTCCCTCACGGTGGTTAGCTCCGGCGAATCTGTTTATGAGATGGTTCCGTGTCATCGAATTTCAGATTCTTGCCTCTTTGCTAGGTTTTGGTTTGGTGTCTGCTACTCGCCGGAAGTCTCAGATTGGGGAGTTGGGTAAAGTGTTGTGTGGTGTTTGGCTCGATTTCTTCTTCCTCGCCATGGAAGGAGCTGGTCTAGTTCTTCGTCGACGGACCTAGAATCGTGTACTTCTCTTTCTCGAGGCACGGTATGGTGGTTTCGTGAGGCAACAGGTCTGAGGTTGTCATGATGTTTCTCAGTGACAGCGGAGTCTTTCTCGGGTCAATGAGTGGCTGAACGTCTTTTGGATTTTAAAGCTTTGCTGGGTGATTGCGTTCTCGGTGGCGTAAGGTTTTAGTTGTCGTCTAAGTTTGTTGCTTTCTTGTAGCAGCTTTAGCGGAGTAGTTTGGGGTAGTAGTGGCTGCCGGTGGTGGTCTTGTTCCTCCCCATTCTTTCTTCTCTGGTCAATTCACATTTCGTTTACTTTGCCTTTCTAAAGGGTTTTGTTGGGATCCTCACTTGTTGCTTACTTGACTTTCTTTGGCTTTGGATGGAGTCTAGTTTGTCATCGCGTTTTCCCTAGGTTCTGGAGGAGTTAGTAAGACTAATGGGTCTTTTGGTGTTGTTTTGTATTGCAATATTTTTGCTCTGTGCTAGCCGACTACGGGGAATGTATTTGGTAGAGGGAGCTAGTGCCAATCGCAATACATTGGTTTGTGTGGTTCCAATCTGAGATCGCTCATGGATTAGTTCGAAGCGCCACTCTCACATGATGAAGGGGGAGTCTGTGATCGAGGGCATTCAGACTTGCGCCGTTGACAGCTCAGTCCTTGGACCTCCTGTGAAAGGCTTCCATTACTAGGGGTCTTCGTCTTTGTCGTCTTTTCAATCTCTATCGTCAGTTTTTTTCTTCAGTAGCTTATTTTGGAGGATCTTCATAATCATGTATCACTTCATCTGACACCGTTTGCTTCACTGCATAGGTTGAGTCGATGGACTGATTGAAATTTGCTTCCATGTTTTTATCTTTTTTTTGCCATGGGACCAATTCTATAGGTTTAAAATTCATGATTGTAAACCTAAACATTTTCATTTTAATAAATATTTACACTTTTAGCAAAAAAAAAATATACATATATAGAATGCTTCAAACATTGGATAATCATACGTTAAAAAAGGGTAATATGTATTATATATAAAACATATATGTCATTACAATTTACTAAAATGGAACCAATACTTAGGAGCTAAATCTACTTTTTGGGGAGGCTAACTTAGGCCAGTGATTGACAATATAATAAATACGTGAATCAAACACTTTGCTCGGTTGGTATCTCTCATTCTCGAGTTTTTAATCTGTGTCGGTTGGTTTCTTCCTTCGTTATATCAAAGGAATTCAAAATTAGTAGGTACAATATTAATATCCAAACAACAACCATATTGGTCTGTTCAATGGTTTTGGTCCATAATGGCCCCTTTACAGAAACAGCCCATTGGCATTTTTACAAAGGCACACAATACTTTGTATATACTGAATTTTATGTAGTAGGATCTAACTAAGTCTTCCGATCCCAACACATCTTGTCATAATGTGTCATCGACTATGAAAAGTCTATGAAAGATCTACGTTTCGAACAAAACTAGCAACCTTGAATCGTTATTACAGAAATCTAGCTAGAATGATCCCACACATGTGACACATCTTGTCATCGACTCCACCATTTGCAAGAAACAACTATAACGATGGAACAAGTCATGCTTTATTCCCGAAAACGTATGGAAGATATATTATCACTACATAATGTAACTAATGTAGTCTACATATATAAGTTACATGAACACGACTATTCTAATTTGAACATATCACCAAATGCAGTGTCCGATCCACCTAAACCTAAACCATTTTCCAAACCAATTCATTTGCTTAAGTTTTGATTACTTACACATAATTTGGTTTCTTTAATAAAGAATACTCATTTGATTTTTATACAAGTGTCTTATTTGATATTTTCAAGTCACTTCATATGCCTAAATTTTTGCAACCTACATATATATTTAATTGAGAAATTCATTAAAATACCATTTTTTTTCCAAAAACCACTATTTGTTTATTTTTTCCAAAAATATCACAAAAAAAAAAAAATTTGCAAAAATATCATATGCATAAAATTGATATGTAAGGTTGTATAATTATTTTTTAGGTTTGGATTTAGTGTTCAAGATTTTGAGTAGTTTTGTTATATTTTTGGAAAAAAAACAAATAATTTAGTAGTATTTTTAGAAAAAAACACTTATTTTAGTGGTATTAATGAGAATATAGTTGCCCTATTTAATTTATTCTTTAATTCATATTCATTTCATATTAATGTATCTTGTTTAACATTTTCATACGAATAAGAACATAATATGATATTTACCTTCTTTTGTTCAACAAAATTGTACCCGATTAGAGTATATAATTATCGTTAATTAAGATCAAGTTATGGAAATGTTTTAAGCGAATAGGGTTTTAGACTTTTAGTCAAAAGATGTGTGAATGCATGTGAATCATCATCATCTAACCAAATACCGAAATGTAAAAGTTGTTGGACGCATTATGAGGAAAACAATATACTTTATAATTTTTTTTGGATAGCGACATTGTAACGTTTCTTGGACGAAATCATCGTAAATCGTGAATTCACACATCGTATTCATCGTTCTGCGTTTCTGATATATACACATTTATTCTGGTTATCTAAAAAAACAAAGCTTATGGGGTCTCTTCTTTTGTCTATATGCACTGCATAAGATACGACTCCACAATTTTGTATAAGACGACAAGTAATAATGAAACTTTGAATTGCATAAAATATAAGATAGAATGTCCAAAGATATATTCACAAATGAGGCTATTACAACATATATACTGAGAATACAAGTGAGACTAGGTTATTATGAAAGACTCATCTATCCTTTCCATATTCATCACCTACATGCCCCCTCAAGCTGGAGGAACTTTGGTGATTCCAAGCTTGGACACAAAATCTCGAAATCGTGGACCAGACAGCGGCTTTGTCAGAGGGTCAGCTAGCTGATCTCGAGTCGAAACATGTGCTACCCGCAAGATACCAGCCTGGACATTATCACGAATGAAATGATAGTCCAAGGCAAGATGTTTCATACGTGAATGAAATATCGGATTAGCAGCCAAGTGTGTAGCACCGAGATTGTCACAATATATGACCGGAGCTGTAGGCAAGGTGAGACCAAGCTCAGCAAGAAGAGAAGTGATCCATCGCATCTCGGAAGCCGCATTCGCGACAGCCCGATATTCAGCTTCGGTGGATGAGCGTGCGACGCCTTTTTGCTTTTTGGAAGACCAAGATATCGGACTGCCGCCAAGGTAAATAATATAGGCGTTTGTGGACACAAAATCATCGGTGTCACCAGCCCAATCCGCATCGGAGTATCCATAAAGAGGGCTGGACACCGCAGTTACCGAGAGTGGTGTGTTCACCCGAATGAATATACCATGAGTTTGTGTTCCAACCAAATAGCGAAGAACGCGTTTTACCGCAACCCAATGCTCATCGGTGGGACTATGCATAAACTGAGAGAGGCGATTAACAGCAAACGCAATGTCCGAGCGCGTGAAGGAGAGATACTGAAGTGCGCCGAGAACAGCTCGATATTCACGTGCATCATCGAGTTTCTTACCAAGACGGAGAGA